TCGCACCCAGCGCTGCCGCGGGCCCGGGCGGTGGGCTCAGCTCCCAGCAGGCGCGAGCGCGGCGGGCCGAGATAAACGTGCGAGCGAGGCTGGGGGCAGAGCGCTTCCTGGGACACAGAAGCCCTGGGTTCGAGCCTCAGCGCCCACAAAACCAAAAACCCCACAAACCGAAAACATCAAAAGGAGAACCTCAGAGGCCAGGACAGAGGGCTTGGATTTGGGTTTCTTTGTTCCCGTGGCGCTGAGGAAGAAGCGGGCCTCCCATCACACACGCCACACCCCGCGGTCCTCCTGCGAGCCCCCGCGCCAGGTTTCTGGGCTCGCTTTAAAACGCGGGCGGGTCGCCCTTTGTCTGCGGTTCTCAACTTCGTCTTCTGGTCCGAAACGGTGTAGGATAAACCCTCGCCGCGAGAGGGCGCTGCACCACGAAGCGACGCCGAGCGGTGGTCCGCATCAGAGCGGGCCGCAGCGCTGTCACCAGGTGAGGACTGTGTCCTTTGGTTGCTCAGCCCGAGAACCACAGATTTCGCCTTTAGAGCCTCCCTTCTTGGGCCAGGGTGGAACCCAGGGCCTCACACAGCAGGCACACGTTGTCCACAGAGCCACCCCCAGCCCAACGCTTTGACAGCACCAACCCTCCCAGGGCACCCCAGGGCGTGCCGAACTCCGGCCCCAGCCCTTTCTACCTTTCCGTTTGAGACAGGGCCTCACTACACAGGTTGGCCTCAAACTTGGGATCCTCCTGCCTCAGCCTCCTATGTACTGAGATGACAGTCGTGTGCCGCGGGGCTTGGCCTCACAGTCCTCTTACACTGCGACCACTGGAAAGGATTCAGGTGGACCAGTGCTCTCCTTCCTTCCCGATGGGCCTGGTGCTTCCCGCGTGGCCCCTGTGATGTGGCCACCCCGCTGGGAACCGCCATCCACACACTGTCCTGTCAGTGGCACTGGTCCCGAGCTTGTCTCGCCCACCTGAGTCTCATCAGAGGGCCTGGCCCTGCGCCAGCAAATACCGCTGCCTGCCTCAGTCTCCAACACAACCCACCTCAGCCCAGGCCCTGCGCCACGGCCCTCTGTCCTGCCGCCACCATGGGCTCCCCCGCCTCAGGCCCCCCACTTGTTATAGTTTGTGTGTAGATGTCCCCCAAAGCCTCATGCAGTCATAGGGTTTTTTTTGGGGGGGCAGCCAAATCCAGAGTGTGTGACTTTGTAGTGCAATGCTGGGATTAAGGGTGCTGGGATTAAGGCTGGGTGACCGCTGGATCACTCTGCTGACTGGATTAGCACTGCCCTAATCCCAGCAGTCTGGATGACATAAAGGGGGCAGAGAGGCTTGTTTCTCCTTTTTTGTTCTTGCTGCTTCTACTGTCTTCTGCCACTTCGAACAGCTGCCCCTCTGCCACGTGGCACCCTGTTTTGGAGCCAGCCGATATGGACTGAAACCTCCACAACTGCGAGCTCAATAAACCTTTCCCTGTTTAATTCTGTGTGATGGGTATTTTGTCTCAGCAACGTGAAAAGTAACTAAGACACCCACCAGTCTTGAAGTGGAAGTGGGGACTCATGCGGAGGCCTCTACCCCTTTGGTCCCCACCTTTCCAACGGAAGGGCTGGTGGCACCTGTCCTTGGAACCCTTTGGCTGAGGCAGGAGGTGTTTTTGTTTTTCCTACCGGAAATTGAACTTGTGATCTTGCGCTTGCCAGGCAGGTGCTGTGCCACTGAGCTACATCCCCAGCACAGGGTGTCTTGAGTTCAAATTCCACCTGGGTGATTTAATGAGATCTTGTTTCAAAATACACACTAAAAAGCGCTAGGAAGGGAGCCAGGTGTTGTGGCACATGCGCGTAATCCCAGAACTCAGGAGGCTGAGGCAGGAGGATCCTTGTGAGTTTGAGACCAGCTTTTGCTACAAAGTATGCTCAAGGCCAGCCTGAACTGCATAGTGAGATGCTGTCTCAAAAAGAGAAAAAAATAAAAAGGGCCGGGATGTAGCTGAGTGGTAGCACACCTTGAGTTCCCAATCTCTCTCTCTCTCTCATACACACACACACACTCACACACACTTTTTGTTTGGTCTGATCTGATCTCGAACAATCCTCCTGCTTCAGCTTCCCAAGTGCTGGGATTACAGGTGTGTACCACCATGCCTGGCTTTTCTGGCTCCCTTTTGAGTTTAGCTTTTAATGATCTGTTTTATTAATTTGTGAATCCTGCCCCTCTCTTCCCACAAAGAAGAGGAATACTGATGTGGTCTGACCCATGCCCGGTGGGGGTGGGCCGGACCGCAGAGCCTGCCTCTGAACGTCTGTGTACGCGGAGGAGCTGCCCCCACACGCCTGGACTCGAATCACCATCCTTGTCCGGGCTTCCTTCCTCCCTGAGAAGGAAGTCTGATTTGACGCAGGATCGGGAAACAGAGGGACATAAAATTAAGCTGGCGGCCTCACGGCCTGCGCCACGCTGAGGCCTAGCTCAGCCCGGTTCCTGCCGCGGGGCTGGGCAGCCCGCTGCCGACGCCTGCTGTTGAACTCCCTGTCACTTGGGGTCTTGGAGGGGAGCTTGGCTACAGCGGCTGTGACCCGGGAAGCAGAGGTCCCGGGTTTCCTCGGCCGGACACCAACGCCGCCCAAATCCACCGCGGTGTCACCCCAGTTTCGTTTTCTTTCCACCAGGAGCGGCTGTTGCCTTCGATCTGCGCAGTCAGTCACTCCCGGCGGTGTGGTGACAGGGGTGTCGCTGGAGCCCTGTCAAACACAGCAAGGCCCTCGCCGACCTCTACCCCTCATCGTACCAGAATGTTCTGGAAACGGTAAACGGCTGCTATCGGGAAACGACTCAAGTGTGTTTAGTGGTCAGAGCTGCAGGTGGGCGCATCCTAAGAAAATCACCACCGCTTTCGGCCCCAGGTCACCAAAGAAAGACAATGACTGATGATTGTGTATTTTGTTTAATACTTGCATTGTTTCTATAGCGCAATTATAGCAATCTTTAAATTTACTTTTCATTACAAATATGTCAAGTTTTGTTTCAGAAACGTTTTTCCTACTCTCTTGCACATGCACCCAGACACACTACAAAAAATTCACTCATAACACAGTACTCATGTAAACATCTTCCATTCATTTCCCATAATTTAAAAAAAACCATAGAATCGTAGGTACTGAATAAGGCTCGTAGATTTAGTTCAGATTCCACAAAAGACCAAAGATGCTTGGTGACCGTGACGGGGTTCACTCCTGGTTGCGATGAATGCCGGAAGCGGACCCCCCCCCCCCTCCTCCTCCCCCCCCCCTTTCCCCCCCCCCCGGCCCCTCACTCCTGAAACAGAACCTCTCAACCTAACAAATGCATTTCAGGATTAAAAGAGAACACAGAAAAGCCAGGAGGAAAAACTTCTGTGGTGGGGAGCTCAGAATCACAGATGTAACTCTCCTCCGGTTTCTCCATATGCGAATCGAGATTAATTCTAGTGTAACCCAAAATGGAACCGCGGAGCTGGGTTCGGGTACATTGGAGGGTGATTCATATTGCTAGGATACACAGTGAAAATCTGTCACCACAATCACCATTTCATTAGATCCAGGACCCAAAGTGGAAAAAAAAAGAAAAAAGAAAGAAACAAAACAAAAACAATTCACTCAAGTCGAATATTATTAGAAAGGAATTTTTTTTTTTCCAGGAACACAAGTCAGGAGAGCTGGGAGGTGTGTCGCAGGGACGCGGATGGTGTCGAGGTTCAAATGACTTCAGACTGTGTGTCGAGTCACAGACAGAGGCAGCGGGGGCTGTGTGATCCGAGGGCGCGCGTCTCTCTGGTTGGAAGCTTGGTGCCGAGGTGCGTGGTCCTCCAGAGCGGAGACAGGGGCGTGCTGAGGGCCGGGCCCTGGCCAGCAGCTGCTCCCCCGTCCCCCGTCTCTGGAGGCGGAAGGCTGCGGGCAGAGGTGGCTGGCAAAACCCTGAAGTCCCACCTGGGGTCTGGACCCCAGCTCCACTGAGGGCAGCCTCCCTGCCACGTGGCTGGGCAGTAGGGTGGCAGGGGATGGTGGCCGGAGACCCCGCTCCAAGGGTCCCGGCTGAGTCTGGCTTCGAATTCTGCTGCCCTGCAAAGGAATTGTGCTCCGGATAACCGCACCGCGTCCCTGATCGCCTCGGATCCGCTCCCAGGCCCCGGTGAGATCGAGAAAGGTGAGCGCACCTCCGTTAGCACCGAACTTACCACCAGGAAGCGGCGGAGGCACTGGCAAGCCTACGGCTCTCTCCACGGGATCGCCGCCAGTCAGAGGGATTTGTAGGCTTCGATTTTTAAAAATCAAAATTGATCTGCATTGTATCTCAATAGACTCAAGAGAATTCTCACCAAAAATTTTTGTGATGTGTTTAAATAGCACTGGAGGAATTCAACTTCGTTTAAATATATTCATTCTACCATGAAAATATTTCATACAAACGTCTATTTACATACAAACACATTAAAATTTGTGAGAAGGGTTTCCACCCCCGTGGTTGTATGGCTTGAAATTGCTTCATTGCTTTGAATATGTATGCACACAGCTGTCGAAAGAAAACCTTGAAAATTTCGTATTTTTAAAATTAAACAAAACAAAAACCTGACATCAAGGATCCAAATTCCTGAAAGGGAAAAAAAAAAAAAAATCCAAGAAAAAAAAAAATCTATCAAGGTTTACCTCAAGTAGATGTAAAGGTAATATATTTTGTGAACCTTTGATCTGTGGCAAATAAACATTATACCTATCCCTCTTGCAACGTAGTTTTGCTTGTTTTCCTACAACAGAAGATGTCTGGCTTCTAAATCACTACTCTTAACACGGAAACTTGAGGCAACTAAAAACAGAACAGAATTCTACCTCTACCTTCTCGGAAGATTTTAAATGCATTTTGCAGTGAGTGACTAGAAGTTTTATTTTTTTAAATGAAAGTTACTGAAAGTGCCACTTTCTGTCTCACTAAGACAATCTCTTGTTCACGGTTCACAATTAATGCAATTTTGTTGGCGTCTTTGCGGCACTGGCATTCAAACTCAGGGCCTCATGCGTGCAGGAGGCTGAGCTTTCACGCTGCCGCACCAGATTTAACTGTCACAATGCCCAGATTTAACTGTCACAATGCCGCGCCGCAAATGGTAACATTGGGCCGAGCTGGCCTTGCCTGGTTTCTTGGTGATAAGGAAATAGTTTCTCAAGTGCGATGAACTCCAGCGCGCAAAGAGTTTGACTGGAGCCCCAGATGGGTTCAAAAAGGTCTTGAGAAATGAATTTCCTTTCTGGTTGCTCAGGGAGACCAGGGGTGAAGCAGGTTAAAACAAGAATAGGTCCTAAGTCCCAAGTCCTCCTTGCCGCTGCCTTTTAACTCCTTGTTCGCGTTGGAAATTCAGTCCTTACAGTTGTTTTGTTAGTCCCCGCGAGCGCCATCTGGGACATGCTGCTGCCAGCTAGTTCCTATTCCTAAGTCTAACAGAAGATAGTATTTCATCATAGAAAAGATGCTAAAGAGAGATCTAGTCATGCAGGGGTCGGCCTGGGACAGCTCGGAATGAGTCCCCTGAGACCACGGCGTCACGCACACGCCCAGGCGCTAGCTCTTCTGGGGACAGCACAGAGTCATTTGTTTATTCCCCGCCCCTGGGCATCTGCCACATTGGGGTTGCGGTTACCGTGCTGTTGACCTGGTTCGACTGCTCGGCTGGTGGGGGAGGACAGTCATTCACTTTGGGAAACACTTAAAGCACCTATCAGAACACACATCTGGAGATCCCCATCTGTCACAGTTTACAGGGCGGTCTCTTTCTGCAGAATAGAAGCGATCCTATCCTGGTGTCTTTTAATCTAAATACTCCACTGAGTTCCTTTCGTGGGAGATCTTTCTGGAGGCCCTGGCAACTTCCTTTCCTGGGCGAACGATCCCCTTAAGCTTTCAGGCAGGGATCTGACTGCCACCCAGCTCCAGGAAGCCTGGCCTTGGGAAAAGGCAAGGGGGCGGCAAGTCTGGCCTGCAGGGCCGAATCCCGCGGAGACGCTGGGCGCGGCCCTGATCAAGCGCTTTCCTTAGAAAGCCTCTTAAGAACAATGCACAGCCAAGAAACGGCAAGCTCGCTTCTCTCTGCCTGGCTTGCCCTCCTCTCCCACTCCCAGAGGCCTCTCTCTCCCCCAGAGGCTCACAGTCTGCTACCGCGCACAAGGCTTTAGCTTTCACTACCCAACTGACACAGGCGACAGCCAACAGCTGCAGCTCAGAGCAAACACTGCTCCCAGGGCTTCCGGCCCTCATGCCCACGCGGTGAGCAGATAAAAACCATGGCGTGTGGTGAGGGTGCTCACAAAGAAACCAAAAATCTCCGAACGCATTCAGAGCCATCCCAGCTACGTCATAGATCTAGGATGCTAAACTAAAAAGAGGGGTTTTCTCCTTATTCTGCAGTTGTGGTTACACACGGCTTGCAAGATGGTTGAAATGCTATTTATGCTGCTGCTTTTAAACTATGCAGGTGTGAACGTTTAGCTTACAATGCTCTGACGCAGGAAAGGACTTTGAAATTACAAGGAGGAGGAGTTACAGCGTTAAGGTTTGCTTTGCACCTAGTGATCAGTATGCTTGCCTTTATAGTATTGATGTAAAAGAAATGTGTGCGTGTTCTGCATTAGAATTCAAGTTTGCTACTTGACTTTTGAATTCAATGCACTGCACCACAAGCCGGACTGCGCTAGGTTATGTACATTTAAAGTATACTCAAGGAGAAAACTTACTAGCACTATTGAGGATACTGCAAAACTGCCACGGTTACTGCTGAGAAATACTAATTGTCCTTTCTTCTTTCTCAAGGTATATATTACAACTCTTCCATAACTTAATGCAAAGGAAATTCATTTCTTCTCACATAGGAAAGCAAAGATACCTTTGTTTACATGCGAGAATAGTTCTATAGTAATATGCCGGCCCTAGGAGCCAGTCCTTTATATTAGGACGTAATAACGAAATAATGATGTAGAAAGAACCAGAGAAGCCCCAAACACCGCCACGAATGGAGAATCCACGGGAGGCTTTTCTCCTGTACGGGAATCTAGGGCGGGGGACAGGACCGACGAAATGACTCGAAGGTGAGCTTCTGTTCACTGGGGAAAAAACAAAGCCATTCTATTGCAAGATACAGATCAAAGGTTAAAAGGCAAATGATACTATACTTAGAGAATAAAGATGTAGTAGTTCTCTACTCTGAGGCGGCCCGTATGCAAGTGTGATAGCAAAATTTGCATCGGCCACGGGAAAGATGCCATGGAAAAACCACCACGGGAAGCGGCCGGCCGCAAAGCCCGTTTCCCTTTTGCAGTCTCTCATTTGGATCTCCGAACGCAGTACAGATTGAGGTGCGAACCACTGGAGAACCTCAAGCTGTCGGTGTCGAGGGCTCCGTACGCCTCCCGGGGCCGCGGCTGCGAGGCTAGCTAATTTTACATCTGGAGTGAGTAACGCAGTCAGACCTGTTAGTATGCGAGAAGGTCGTTGCTATCACAGGTGAGAGGAGGTGAGGTCACAGCACAGCAGTCCCCGGTGGTCCTGCTGTCCTCGTCGCTGGGTGAATGGAGTGCATAGATCCAAGTTTCGACTCCAGCTCCCTGGAGGCCCGAGCCAGGCCCCTTACTTCTGCTGGCTGGCCTGGAAGGCCTTCAGCTCCAACTGGTACCACTCAGGGGCCTCCAGCCCGTTCTTGCCCCGGGGGCTGTGGTCATAGCCGTAGGCAACGGTGAGCTCCTCGTGAGCCTCCACAGCTCGCAGGGTGCGGATGCACTTGATGGGCCCAAAACGGGGGTGGACAAACCTAGGCATCAAGGCGGCAAGGTCATTCCCAGGCCGGACCAGCAGGCTACTGCGAAGGCCCCCAGGGGGCCGGGGCGAGGGTCCCCCTGCACACTCTGGCCTGTGTGGGGGCAGACCCGCCAGCACCACTCACCTGGGAGCCGCTAGACCTGGGCACCTTGGTGCCCCGGATCTGCTGCGCTGGACTCTGTGCAGCCCAGGTGACTGACTGACTGGCAGGGTGACGTTTGCTCTTTTGTTTTTTTGACAGCACTGGGGATGGAACCCAGGTCCTTCACTCTGAGCTATGTCCCCAGCCCTTTTTTATTTTGAGACCAGTGTCTTTTAAGTTGCTAGGTTGCCAGGACTGGGCTGCCACTTGCCATCCTCCTGCCTCAGCCTCCCAGAGTGCTGAGATCACAGATGTGCACTGCCACATCTACTGTGTGCTCTGTCTTCCTTTTTGAGCGTATTTGGCACTCTGTTTATAAAGCAACAATCGGGGTCAACAACAAAAACCTGTACTTAGCAAGAAACCAGATCCCCCCCTCAAAAAAAAGAAACCAGATCCCGTGTAGCCATCACCCCTTGGCATCAGGGGGGTGGCACCAGCCTGCTTTTGGAATTATATGACAGGGCCTGTGGATTCTCACCAGCAAAAACTGCAACCACCTGACTACGGAGGAAGCATTCTTTTTTTAGGGGGAAAGAAGATGAGGCCCCTGCCGACCTGCTTCCCGCAGCCCCCTGGAGGCATTCCGGCTGGAGGCATCTGCCTTGTACCCCTACCGCTGTGGATCGAGACCACGGAACAACACAGCGGGTAGAAAGGGGCCCGCTGTTTTCTGTGCATCTGGCCCATCCCTTTAGCTTATTTACAGTCATCACGGGGGAGGGGGACATGAAGGGCGGTGCGACCCCGAGGGGAAGGTCCCAGGCTGGTGGCTGCAGGGTGCAAGCCTGGCGGACTGCACAGAGAGAACGTGGCTCTCTTGCTTCCGGTGAGCAAAGTCGTGCGCCCGCACTGACAGCGGGAGAGGCTGGTTTTAGAGCCCTTCGGACAGTGCTCACCGTGCTACAGCGCCTCTGAGCCACCGCAGCCTGGACCACTCGTTGGCCTGTGATTAACACGTGTCACTTTCACTTTGCGCCATTTCTCCCTGCCTTTAAGCAGGTGTAGCTCCAGCGCTTGTTCCCAGCTGCCTAGGAGAGCGAGTAGCTGCCAGAATGCGCTCTGAGCCACCTGGGGAAGCAAGAAGGAGTGCTTCCAAGGAACAAGGAACACCGAGACCTGCTCTTGCTTCTGTACCAGCCGGCTGACCGGGGCTGAGTGGGGAAGTGACAGAGCTCTCTCCACCCCGCCCCAGGAGGGGCTGGCGCACTCACGCCAAGCTAAGGGAAGGACGATTGCGTAGATGCCCAATTGTATCCTGGAACTAGGGCCGGAGACGCGGGGCTTTGGGCAGACGGCGTTCCAGGGGCACAGGAAAACTACTAAAGTGTTTGTAGGACAACAGTGTAGAAGCCAGTGCACAGGAAAGCGAGAAGGAAGGCTAAGGGCTGGGCGGTACAGGGAACCACATCTGGGCCCAGTACGTCCTTTCTGGCCCAGTGTGGTGGTGCACTCCTGGAACCCCAATGCACTGGCAGGCTGAGGCACAAGGACTGCAAGTTCGAGCCCAGCCTGGGCAACTCAGTGACTTGGTGGGACCCCATCTCAAAATAAAAAGGGCTGAGGATGTAGCTCAGCGGCGCAGCGCCTGCCTAGCAAGTGCAAGGTCCTGAGTTTGATTCCCAGTACAAAAAAATAAAATAAAATTTAAAAAGGGGGCTGGAGATGTAGCTCAATGGGAGGGCTCTGGGTTTACTACTGCACAAACCAAGCAAACCCACAAAAACAAAACAAAGATGCCAGGCGTGGTGGTGCACGCCTGTAATCCCAGCACTCAGGAGGCTGAGGCAGGAGGATCGCTGCGAGTTCGAGGCCAGCCTGGGCTACAAAGTGAGCTCAAGGCCAGCCTGAACTGCATAGCGAGACCCTGTCTCAAAAAGACAAAACAAAATGTAGAAAAAATCCTCAAAACCCTCTAGGTGCCGGGTCCCAAAAGCACATTTCCTATCTCCTCTAGCTGTATTTGTGGGTGACAGTAAGCTCCCTACAATACAGGTTTCCAAGAAGAAATTTGATGAGCAGATGGAAAGGGAGGCTCAAATCCCAAGAAAGGGTGGGGACATTTGGTATTTTTTCATAACGGCTTTGTTAAGATGTAATCCACACATCATACAATTCACCTTTCTGTAGCAGACAATCCAGTGTTTTTCTTAACACGTCATAGAGCTGTATAGCCACCCCCATTGCTGACTTTTATAACACACTGTCACCCAAGTGCAATCCCACACCCACGAGCAGTCACTCGGTGTCCCCTCCCCAGCCCTGCACCACACTAATTTACTTTGTCCCTGGGCATTTCCCACGTCAGATGTCTCAGCATGGTCTCAATGACTCCCATCAGTCCCTGAGCAGAATACCTTCCAGCCTCACCCGGGCTGTACCACTTGTCAATACTTCATTCCCTTTAACTGTCAGATAACAGGAACTGACTGTATAGGTCTCTCCCAGCACTCAGACCTCGTACTCTTAGCTTGGGATTTTGTGTCCTCTTTCCTTTCATCTCCTAAATTTCCTAATATTCTCCATTGCTTTTGTTGTGTTTTTGCTTTTTTTTTTTTTTCCGTCTTTTTGAGACAGGGTCTCACTATACAGTTCAGGCTGGCCTTGAGCTCACTTTGTAGCCCAAAGCTGGTCTCGAACTTGCAAGGATCTTCCTGCTTCAGCCTCCTGAGTGCTAGATTATAGGTGTGTGCCACCAAGCCCAGCTGGCTTTGCTGTTTTGAGACAGGGTCTTGCTATGTAATGCAGGCTGGGCTTGAACTCACTATGTAGCCCAGGCTGGCCTTGACCTCACGGTGATCTTCCTGCCTCAGCCTCCCAAGGGCTGGGATTACAGCTGTGCACCACCACGCCTGGTCTAATACTCTCCATTGTGCAGAGTAATTTGAATTAGGGGACTGGGTGGTAACTGGGATTGACCCCACAGCTTTACATATCCTAGGCAAGTGCTCTACACTGAGCTATATCCTGACTCCTTCTTAAACAGTATTTTATTTTGAGAGAAGTTCTCATTAAATTGCTCAGGTTAGCCTTGAATTTACCATCTTCCTGCCTCAGTCTCCCAAGGGCTGGGATTACAGGCATGTGCCACCGCTTCCAGCTTCAATTTTTACTACTATTTCAAATCCCACTGTTAACGGCGTGGGTACGATGTGTCGCCTGGACTCATGCGTCGGGAGCTTGGTAAGCGAGTAAGTGTACGAGATCAGAGAACTCTAACCCCATCGATGGCTTCACAGCTCCATGGCTCATTGGAAACGGGATTAACTGGATGAGGCCGGTCACTGTGAGTGTGGCTCTGAAGGTACATTTTGCCCCTACTCTCTCTGCTTCCTGGCTGTGGGAGGTGAGCAGCTTTCCTCGGCCACGCCCTCCCACCACGTTGTCTCTGCCTCCCCGCAGCAGCTGACCGTGGACTGCAACCTTCAAACTGTGAGCTCAGGGAGTTTTCCTCCTTGAGGTTGCTTTGCTTGGGTAGGTTGTTTTTTTTTTTTGTACCGGGAATCGAACTCCGGGCTTTGCACTTGCCAGGCAAGCGCTTACGCCACTGAGCTATATCCCCGGTCCAAGGTAGGTTTTTCAACCAGTGAAAAAATGACTAACAAAATCCCTTCACTTCCTGTTTTTCAGTGCTGGGGATCGAACCCACGGCCTCCGTCCCACTGGTTAGTTGCTCTACCACTGAGCTACGCTTCCAGCCCCAACACTTCCTGTACAGAAGGAAACTAAAAGGCACAGCAGCAATAAAACAGCAACCACTAAGGATGCTACTTCACTGCCTTTCCATGCTCTGAAGCGCACTCATGCCTCCGTTTGCTAAGGGCTGAAGCGGGGAGGAGGTTGTGTAGATTTTGAGTTTAAGTTGAAACCCTGAGGCCCGTGGCACGAGCCCCTCAGTTACTCTGGGGAGCAGCCTCTATCTGAGGCTTAGGGACACCTTTTACCTGCCCTGCTCCGTCCCAGGGCCGCAGGACCCCAGGGCCCAGCCCCACCCAGCACTGCGTCCTACTCACGTGTCGTAGATGCAGTTTGGAGTGAAGGAGTGATTCGCCTTGTGTCCCAGGGAGGCACAGTACTTGGACACGCGGTTGTAGGGCTCAGGCACGTCGATGACCGTGTCCTCATCCAGGGACAGGGTGTTCCCGTTCAGGGCCCAGTCCCTGTTGTCAACCTGTGGGACAGGAGAGCAGGCGCTGGAGCATTCTCTCTCACACACTCCAAGGAGCCAGAGACCCTCCCTCACAGATCCTTAAACTTCCTGCTTGAGTTCCACGGCCGCGAAAGAGACCCAAGACTCCCCTCCACGCGGGGAAGGGGCAGGCAGACAGCTCAGCTTCCTGTTGATTTATTTTTTTTCCCTTATTTTATGTAGGAAAAAAGGATTTGGGTCCCTTATAAAGATACACAAAAATGTAACAGATAACTTGAATTAAAAGGAGTTGAAGCTGGGTGTGGAGTACACACCTGTCATTCCAGCATTCTGGGAGGCTGAGGCAGGAGGATTGCAAGTGCGAGGCTAGCGTGGGCAATTTAGTAACAGTCCGTTTCAAATTTTAAAAAAATGAAAGGAGGTCTGGGGGTGCAGCTCAGTGTGGAGGCTTGGGTTCAACCGCCAGAGCTGCATGCCACAGCACCACCATTGAAAAAGAACAGAGCAAAGGCCCGAAGGTCTTTGCGGGGGCGGGTGTCAGTGACCCCAGCAGCCCGAGGCCAGGCTGCCCTCTCTACAATACTCCCACTGACAGCCTTCGATCCGGTGAGGCCAGAGCAATATACGCTTGGAGCAAAACCTGCCCGCAGGTTTGTATGAAAATGTCACCCACCTTATGTTCCCTTTAGTAGCTGTCTAGTTTCCATGTATCTCCAAGAAAATCTAAAGCTAAAGCTAAATCTGAATTTCACGAGGGCAAGGAGGGAGGCTCACTCATTTCAGCATAGAACTGGACTCGGCTATTTGAGTTCAGTCCGCCTGAACTCTGCTAGTTACTGCATTTGTGACCTCAGAAGGGCCGTTTCAATTCTCTGGACTTCGCTTTCCTCCTCTGCAAAATGTTCAGAGGAATAAAATTGAGCATCCCTAATCTGAAAATCTGAAATCCAATGCCCCAAAAGTGAAAATCTTGAGGGCTGACACGAAGACTGGAAAATCTAACACCTGACCTCATGTGACTGGTCCTGGTCAAAATACAGTTACACCGAAAATATTGTAAAAAAAAAACGTTACCTTCTGATTGTGTCTCTAAGGTGTGTATGAAAGATAAATGAGTTTCACATTTATACTTGGGTCCCATCCTTAAGGTTTCTCATTTCTCAATATTGTAAAGCCCAGAAAACAAAACAAAGCCCCAAACTCCCCAATTTCTAGTCCCAAGTCCTTCAGACAGGAGATTCTCAACCAGTCACAAGTCACCACCTGGAAGCCACCTTTTCTACGCTGACTGTCCCTGTCCCAAGCTTTGGCGTGTGGACGGAGGTCTGCTCAGCTCGGGCCCATTGCCCCCCTTTGCATGGTGACTGCTTTGATGCGCTGTAACTGGACTACTGCACCGCATCTGTCCCCTAACTGTTCCACAGCAGTAAGTGAGAAAGTGCAGTGACTAGTTCAGGCTCAGGCCCAACTCTCACACACTTCATGAAAAGTGAGCAGGGAGGCACCTCGCTGGCACACCTCACTTGCTGTGCTAAAAGCTTTGAACGTCTGTCCTTGGGCAGATGCTTAGGGGTTAATTGCAGAAAGAATAAACAAGCAAAAACCTTACATGCAGCTTTGGAAATACATCCAGGACTGTGTCTAAAGGGCCAGCAGTAATTCATTCAACTCTTTAATTTTTCATTGTTCATTTTTTGGCACTAGAAGTCTTCCCAACAAGACAAAGCCATGAGACTATCGTGTGGCTTTTGCACCAACGGAAGTGGGGAGCCTTCTTATAACGCACCCAGTCCCGGATCATTTCACAGCTACGGACAACCTGACTGGCCCTCAGCTTCTCACAGTAGATGCTATCTGCTAGGAAGCAGTTCCTGTCTCACTGAGACACTTTCCACTTTGTAAAGCAGAAAGTAACCCAAGAGGGACCTTGTTTGAAACCAATCACACGGATTTTCACTTCTTCAGCACTTACCTCCTGGTGTGTAATTCGGACTCCATTGTAAAAAGATGTAACAGTGTTAGGTTCCATGGCCACCTTGGAAAACAGTCCTTCCCCAGCACTGGAAATGAGAGACTCTGCAACGTACACTCTAAGGGGGAGAAAGCCACGCAAGGACTTCAGTGTGACACGTCTCCTACGCTCACCATCAAAATATGACATTTCTTCCTATATCCAAATGCTAGCTCCCAGTAATCCAAAGAAGGGACACAGGAAGAAGTTAAACTACAATGTTTTAGCATAGGAAATGGAAGAAGGCTGGGGATGTAGCTCAGCAGTACAAGTGCTTGCCTGGCAAGTGTGAGGTCATGAGTTCGATTCCCGGTACCAGAAAAAAAACAAAAACAAAAACAACACCCCACCCCCCAAAAAAGAAGAAGAGAAAACAGCACTCATGATTATGGATAGGAGTTCAGGGCAGAGCATGCATTCCTTCAACAGTGCTCTCAGTTCTCTGGACACATGATGGAAGACCCTGTGGGTCTGGTCACCTGTGATTTTTACTACATGGAATTTATGCTTATGTCATGGACTGAATTACCACTTCCCACTCTAGTCCTTCCCTTTGACAGAATGATATATCCTGCCATTCTGCCATGCAGCCTTGTGACGCCTCCCTCAGAGTGGTGGGGTCTACCTTTCTGTTATGATTGGGATTTGATTTTCTTTGGGGGGGGGTGTCTTTTTGAGACAGGGTCCCGAGTGCTGGGATTACAGGTGTGTGTGCCACCACGCCTGGCCTGATTCGGCTTTGAAATGTCCCCACAAAGCTCATGTGTTGAAAGCGTGGTCCCCAAGGCAGCAGTGTTTGGAAGTGGGACCTTTGGAAGGTGACTGGGTCATGCGGCACTGTCCTTATCAATGGATTAGTCCACTGACTGATTCGCAATTCAATGGGTTCTTGGGAAATGGTGAGAGCTTAGGTGGTAGAGCCCAGCTGCAGGAAGTAGGCCTGTGGGGGAGGGGCTGCCTCCTGGGCTCTATCTTGTCCCCAGACCCTTTCTCTTGTTCTGTCTCTGCTTCCTGGCCACCATAAGGTGAGCAGCTTTGCTGCACCTTGCACACCTGGCTATGACATTGTGTCTCTCTGCAGGCCAAGACACAATGCAGCCATGTGACCATGGACTGCAACCTCTGAAACCCTGAGCTAAGATAAATCGTTCCAGGAAGCTGATAAGCACAGACCCTGAGCTCCTGATTTTGCATGTAGCCACAGGAGGTGCTTTACTTGTGGCCCACAGGCAGAGGTGAACCACATTAAGTCTCAGGAGTTAAGTTCTGCCAACCTCCTTCAGAGTTTCGACCAGCAGAGCAGGCAGCTGGGGCTGGTGCCCCTATGGGGCAAGGCTTGGCACGAAGACATCTGAAACAGACCTGAACCCAACTTGAAGCCTGGAGTCTGGCCCAGTCAGGGCAGGCCCAGTCAATCTCATTCAAAAGTGGCTGAACCTCAGCCAAGCCACAGAACAATGAGGGTGAAAGAAAATGTTTGCTTTTGTAAACCACAGATGGATCACCCTGTAGATATTGTTATGCAGAATAATCACAATAACAATACCAGACAAGACTGATCCAGGCAGTTAGGACTGTTGTGGTTTGGGGCTAACAAAGAGACTTAACCGTCTCCTTTGCAGCTGGGCCAGCGCCTTCCGTCCAAAGAGTGCATTCACTCCCTGTGACATTCTGAGGCCAGCCCTGTCAGTCAGGCCAAGGAAGACGCCTGTTTCCCAGACAGGAACAGAAATGGAATAGGACACAGAGAATGAGGCCAAGGGAAAACCAAGATGGCGCCTTACTCTAAGAACCCCAGGCTACCGGCGGAAGCCACACCAAGAGTGCAGTTCAGAGTACCACCAGCACCACCCTGTGGGTTGGACTGGAAATGGGAAGCGGTACCCTCTGGGAGTGAGAACACAGAAATAGCTGGTCACTCAAAGGCTGGAAGTTTTTCTTTTTGAGACAGGGTCTTGCTATGCACTTCAGGCTGGCCTTGAACTCGCAAGGATCCTCCTGCCTCGGCCTCCCAAGTGCTGGGATTACAAGTGTGACCACCACACCTGGCTTAGGCTGGAATGTTTTTGTGCTGTTTATACTTCCTTTGTTTCCATCCTGTCATCCCTGAATGAATGAAATCACCTCATGTTATAGGCATCATGAGCTGGCCTGGGAAGAAAAGGGGCGTTCTGCAGCCTGGGCAGAGCTGTGGGAGCGAAGTGCTCTCCTGGAGGACAGCGAGGGACTGCAGCATCCATGGTGGCCCCAGAGTGCTAAGAAAGGGGACATGGCAGGGGGTGTGGTTGCCTGGCCCAGTGGTCCTTCTACCTGGAGCTTCATTCCAGGTCTGACTCATGAACTGGTCTGTGCTTTCCTGGCTCCCTTACAGGGACAGATTCTGAATGAAAATAAAGGCACTCTTCCTCCAGCATGTGTGCATTTACTTGGAGGGTCTGCAAAGGAAAGGGACACTCCAGGGAGGAGCCTGGCCCCAGAGGGGCCCAGCCTGGGCAAAGAGCCACAGAGGAGAACAGCTCCCCACAAGGGCTGTAAATCCACCTATGCAGTGCAATTAAAACCACAAAGCAAAAGTTACCTCTCAGATTCGTAAGGGTCTGGAAGAAGGGCGGTGGTAGAGATGCAAGATGAAGTCGACTTGTCAAAGTGGTACACGGAACCTGGGGAGTAAATAAAAATGTCAGCGCAGGGACAGAGCCAGCAAGGCGCATTTAAAACACTTCTTTTTATTGATGAGACAAGAAAGAACTAAGCAAGTACAGGTATGAATCCAGTTATACCAACGAGACTGCAGCTCTTCCATTTAGCTAGATGGCTGCTACATTTACTCTTTGGTTTTAGTGTTTGTTTGTTTTGGCTTTCTAAAACCATGTAGTCCAGACTGGTCTTGAACCGGCAGTGTTGTTCTGGCTGGCCTTAAAGTGGCAACTGTCCTGCCTCAGCCTCCAGAGTGCTGGAATTATAAGCATGTACCACTGTGTCTGGTAATTTTATTTCTAAGTCTTAAAAAAGAGCCATCAGATCTATTTATTTATTTATTTATTTATTTTTCTATTTCTTAAAATTCTCATGCTCTTGACTTTTATTTCATCAAATACTTTAAAAGACGTTTGGGTACTTAATATTTTTAATCAAGAAAATTCTTTGTCTCTTCCACATGGCCTGAGCTCACCCTTGCTTCTACTTTGAATTTTCAGATCTTTCTGGTTGGGTCAAACTGGGTAACGGTTTTCAAATTTTCTCTTGCTCTTCTTCATGCCCCAGACCCAGTCTGTAAAAATCTGAGGCCTGACATTGCTTCTTCCCTAAAAATAAACATTCAGCTTCACCAAAGTCAAGGAGAATAGTACTGCTTGTGATTAAGCATTAACAAAGTAATTTTATTTCTATTAAGAGTTCTTCAGAACCCAACCAGTAATTTATTCCAGAAACTAAGGTCTGTGACTGTCCTACAATTACTGTTGGCCATGAGCAAAGGATTAGACCCTGCGAATCCTCACAGAGCACAATGAAGACGTACGGTGTTTCAAAGGATAATAAAGACGTAAGATTTTGAACCCAAAGGCTTACTCCTGCAAAATAAATTATTTTAGGCACTGTGACATTGATAATAATCCCACTAAGCAATTCTTTGGCGGTTACCAATGGTTACCAGGTCTGTCTTTGTATAACCCAAACCCGAATTAATGCCTCAAAGTAAAAGTTAGAAATAGTCCCAATCAGCCTGTGTCTAACTAGGAAATACACCACTGAAGTATTTCCACAAGGGAGAATTTAATGCAGGGAACTGTTTACGCAGGGAACTGACTACGCTGGGACGGCGGAGCTGAGAAGCCAAACCGGAAACTGCGAGGAGCCCAGCTACTGTGCCGGGCCGGAACCGGAAGCCGCCACCCTGAGCCCGCAGAACAAGGAGGAGCTGGCACCTGCGCTCTGGGGCTGGGGTGGCCAGGCAATAGCAGGCTTTCCTGGTGGGCGATGGAATCAGGGTGACAGCCAGGCCTTCTCTCAGCTCCCTTCTCCCACTCTGTCCCGTCCAGGGGCTCCCTTTGGTCAAAGCTACACAAAAGTCAGGCTTCCGCAGAAGCTGCTTGCAACAGAAGCAGGCAGGGAAAGCGTGAGGAAGAGATCGGAGAGCAAATCGGTAACGGACTAGCAGAGAACCCACGAAAGGAATTTGGTTCAAAAAAGAAATAAAAAATTTTTTAAACAAGTTTTTTTTTCTTCCAGGGTTGGACCCAGGCCTTGCTCATGCTAAGCGGTCGTTCTACCACTGAGCTACAGCCCCAGTCCTAAACCCCTTTGTGTGGAATCTGTGTTCTACTGTGTGGAAATTCTATAAAGCTCCAGCTCCTCTTCCCTCACAAATGTGCACTCAGCGCCAGCCGCAGGCACGGGCTGGACCAGGTTCTGAGCCTGCGCCAATGCACCGCATCCAGTCCGCACTGCCTTGGTGTGGAGATCTTGCCCGAGTCCTGTGTTCCCTTCCGCCGGCCTGAGCTGCAGGCAGAGAGGCCCCACCTTCGCTTCTGCTCTAGTTTGTTCTGTGACCTTTGGTTAGGATGCACTCATTCACTCTGCAACCGTTAATTATAAGAGGCAGGCCGAGACCAAAGACAAAGTAGGACTTCGCCAGGAAAAGGAGTTCATGTGGAGGGGGAAGACAGAAGAAATGCCAGCCCAAGGCAGACGTGAAAATACCAGCCTAAAGGAAGGGGAGAAGCTGCTTGGGCCTACAGAGCACAAAGAGGAAGGGCTGGTGGGAGAGGAAGCCAGGGAGGTGACAGGCCGGGGAGGACTTTCTCTGCAACACTTCCACTATATGTCCCTCTTCTCCTACCCCTGACCCTATGACACCCGCCTACTTCATTACTAGTCAGCAGTTTAGTAATTCTAACCAAAAGGAGTGGAGAGGACACAAAGGTGGCAGGACACTAGCTCTCTGGATTTTTCCAGATGCCTACTGCATCCCTGGTTCTTGACCTTTGAGGCCTATTTCCTTAAAATACCTCATGCCTGGGGGAATCTTGTCAGTAAGCGTAGCCCTTTCTTTTTCACCTTGGATGAATTTGAGGTGGGTGTTTGCTGTGTGCAACCAGGAATTATATGAAAAATGTCATCATTCTCAAAATCTGTTTCTTCTTTTTCCTACTAACAGGAATGTAATAACAAGAATACTTTTCAGCGGCTGGGGATTTAGCTCAGCAGCAAAGCGCCTGCCTGGCAAGCACAAGGTCGTGAGTTTGATTCCTGGTACCAGAAGAAAAACAAAACAGAATACTTTTCATTAAGGTGCCTTATGATAGGGGCCAATATTAATATTTGATAATGAAGATTCTTGCCTAAGATAGCCACCATATGTAAATGTTAGAATTGAGATTCAAATTAGGCAACTCTTTTGTTCATTTGTTTGTGTTTTGGAGACAGTCTCGCTATGTAATTCAGGCTGGTTCTGCACTCACTATGTAGCCCAGGCTAGCTTCAAACTTGCAGAGATTCTCCTGCCTCAGCCTCTGAGTTCTGGGATTACAGGTAGGCAACTCTTAAATTCTGGCTGTTGCCACCAAAAATGCTGTCATTTATGAAGTTTTAAAATATGCATCTCAGGCTGAGGGTATAGCTCAAAGGTAGAGCATTTGCGAATCCCTGTGGTGATCCTCAGGACCACAACCAATCAATCAATTAAATTAAATTTGCATCACCAATTAGGACCTTCCTCTGTACCCCATCTGATGTCTAAATGTACAACAGCGGTTCCTTTCAGTACAAAGGTCAAAAGCACCAATGCTACGGTTTAAAGTTGACTGCTTCCTTTTTAAAAAGATATCTTCCATTTCAGAATAGTTTTAAATATAAAGAGACGTTAAATGCTAGCACAGACAGTTCTTGCTGTTTCTCTCAGTGTTGGCTTTTTACATGACGTGGTACATTTGTCTAAACTAGGAAAGCAACACAGACCCATTACTATGAACCAAACCCTAGACCGTATTTAGATTCCACCAGCTTTTCCACTCATGTCCTTTCACTGTTCCAGGATCCCATCCAGAATCCCACCGCTGCCTTTGGACTGCTTCTGTTTTTAACTTAAGAAGTGAAAACGGGGACATTTAAAGCAACCTAAGTTGGACGTAAATGGAAATTTGAGAGTTCCTGTTTTTGGACAACTCCCCATGGAGATTATCCTTCCAATTCCAAGTTCTTAAGTATCATTTAGGCCCGTTACTACCTCGACTTACTACCTTTCCGATTGCTTTATCCTTGTAACCTGTCCTGGACCAGAAACACAGGCAGATTCGGCTGTTAAGGAGTCAGAATAATTCAGCTGGCTTTCTTCCCCTGTGCCACTCAAGACATAAAATCCTGAGTTTTCTTGTATATTCTCCCGGTCTTCTACAAAAAGTAATTTTTTTTTTCAGTACTGGGGATTGAACTGTGCTTGTCACTGAGCTATACCTGCAGCTCTTTTTACAAATTTTGAGACACAGTCTCAGTAAGTTGCCCAGGTTGGCCTCGAACATATGATCCTCTTGCCTCAGCCTCCTGAGTAGTTGGAGAGGTGAGTGTGCCTGGCTAAAATAATTTTATATCCAGAAAAAATGTTTTAGGGTGGCACGTTGCACTTCTCAAAGGAAATAAGGATTCTGTCAGGTGCAGACATGCGCTGAGTGTGTGCCCTGTTTGAGAGGCTGGGCTCTCCAGAGGACGGGGTGACCCACCCTGCATTTGTCTCTCCGGTCCCACCTCGGGCTGGGCCAGCTTGACACTGTGCAGGCCCGGGAGAACTGCCTGCCTTGCTTCTTTAATATCATTAGACCACGGGACAGTGTTCTAGAGCTACGACCATTGGAAACTGATTAGATTACCACTGTCATTTCTTACTTCCCGCTGGGTATTGGAACGATCTGTGGCCGCGGTCCCATGCCTGTTCAGTATCTCCCACTAAGGCGCATCCTGAGCGTCTCCGTTCTCTCCCACTCCTGTTTGACCTTGGCTCTGCGATTTGCTTTGATCAATGAAAGGAGGGTGAAACGGACAGCCTATCAGCTCCAAGGGCCGGCTTTGCAGAGCACTGGAGTGGATAGCAATGCTCTGCCGCCTCTACCATCCCCTGGGAGAAAAATCCTGTCCGAAATCGCCACTGTCCTCAGCCTCGGCTCCATCGCTGAGACTGCGCGACGCAGCGAGACTGCCCTGGTTTCAGCCCGGGAGCAGGCCCGCGCTTGCGCTGTGAAGCGTCGCAGGTTGTGGAGCCCGCAGCAAAGCTAATACACCGGAAGTGAGCTAGACTTACAAAGAAAGAGCCTCTCTCACCCGGACCCCTTCGGAGGCTGACTCAACTTACTTCCAGGCACGAGCTCAAAGTGAGGCCTCCCTTCCTCGATCGACAGCAGGGTGGCCAGTTTGCCTTCGATCATCTCCCCATCCATGAACTTTCCGTAGAGGGCCGTTGTCCCGTCGGGGTACACGTAGGCTATCTTCTCTCCAGTCATTTCCCCCTCTTCATTGACTTCTCCTACAAGGCTGCCTCCATCCTGATAGGAGAAGCCCAAACCCAGAAAATATTACATATACTATTTATCTACAGAGCCTGAGAGTTCAAGAAATTTCTCTTCTGCACAATCACTATGAGTAGCACTATTACGAGGGATAATAATAATTTAAGAACCGAGAGCTTCTGACAAAAGTAGAATAGGATACATATGAGGTGTGAAAGGAAACTATAGTGAATGCATAAATTTATTTATTTTTTTGTCTTTTTGAGACAAGGTCTCACTATGCAGTTCAGGCTTGCATTTAACTCACTTTGTAGTCCAGGCTGGCTTTGAACCCACAGCCATCCTCCTGCCTCAGCCTCCGCTGTGCTGGGATTACAGGTGTGCGCCACCACACCTGGCCTGAATACCTAAACTTTACCACGATAAATTTTAAATTTAAACATTGACCATATATTTTGATCACCCCTGTGTCTTCTTGTATACATGTCCCCATTCATGCGACCTTCCAGCCCATATGGCCATACTGCTGGAATGTTCTGTGCCCCTGATTTAGAGCAGGAGGCTGAGTTGCACTTGGTCATCCTGGACTAGTTCCTGATACTCTATTTTGGTTTATCTTCTAAGAAACCAACATGTTACATTTGGAACATCAGAGGCTATTTAAAGGAAATGTAACTAAATGTTACCTCTGGCCAATAGCCCATCCTGGAGGAATGTGGCAAGGTAATCTCCCTGCTGCTCACATGCCCTCACTGGGTGTGATGGCCCATGCCTATAATCCTAGCACTTGGGAGGCTGAGGCAGGAGGGTTATTGCTGAGAGTCTGAGGCTCTGTATTGGGTATAGGGCCAGCCTGAACTGCATAGTGAGTCCCTGTCTCAAAACAACAACAACAAAAAAAATCAACCAAATAAACAAGGAAACAAAACAAAACAAACAAAAGCCATGCTCTCGCTTCCTAATATTAGACTCTGGATTTCTAGTCTGTTAAGAAAACCCAGTTTAAACACAGTGCTCGAGGCTCTCCTGACTTTCCGTGCCAGCCCACTCTGGGCTCCCCAGGCGAGCTGTGCTCTTGCTCTTGCCTCTACCCTCTTCCTCTTTACGAGGCTCAAGCTCCTCCCAGTCCCCCCCCAACTCTTCACTTTTACTTTCTCAAATAAACTTTGTCACTGTTAAAAAAAGGAGCACTTAGTTAATTTGTTGCACAGGAGTAAAGACAGCCTTGGCTGTCAAAAGGACTTTCTACGAATCCTATCCCAGCACCTTTTCTTTTGGAGTTAAGAAGAAAAAGGGAAAATGGAAGAACTAAATTCTGCTCCTTTCATCATTGCTGCCTCCTTCTGAGACTCTCCTCTGCCTGCTCCTTCCCAGCTCCTCCCAGAAGAGGAGCCGCTTGGCTTCATTCCGAAGGGTCATGGAGTGCTTTAGGGTAGAGGCTAGCATAGAATTCTGTATCCTGACAGATGCCAGGGACGCGAGCCTGTGTGTGTGTGTGTCTGTGACTGAGGATTGAACCCAGGGCTTTCACACTGAGCTACATCCCCAGCTTTTTAAATTTTGAGACAGGGTCTCAGTAAATGGATCAGGCTGGGCTCAAACTTGAGACCCGCAGGGGATATAGCTCAGGGGCATAAGCACCTGCCTGGCAAACACAAGGTCCTGAGTTCGATTGCCGGTACCAAAAAAAACCCCACAAAACTTGAGATCCTCCTTCCTCCTAAAGGGCTGGGATGACAGGTGTGTGCCACCACACCTGGCTCACGTACTTTTTGAACTGGACTGGCATACCAAAAAGTAATGAATGATTAAATGCAGGGCGCCAGAGGTGGTTCCTCTTTCTTCCCCCAAAAGAAAGTCCTTAGGGTACGACTTTGAAAATGAAAGCTCTTGTGGGTTTGCTAGAATAGCAGTGCTGTGTCTCTAAAAGCTTGCTTAATTTCCCTGACCCACAGATGGAAGTCAGGAATGCGGGCAGACTTCTGAGTGTTCCCAAATGCTGCTCAGAAAGACAGCAGAAGTAGATATTGCCCTATAGTTGATTCTGCGCCTCACCATAGTCTCCTTGCTCTGGGAGGAAAAAGTTGTACATTAGAATGAATCCCAGCACTTCCACAAAAAGAAAAATATTTGGAAGCATTTTGCACAGATAGAGTGCAGTAGGGCTGTGCTGACTGCCTCCTCCTCCCCAAGCTGAGTGTCCCCAGCCCAGCACGGCGGGATGACACTTTTACACGGTGGCCCTTCGGGTCATCAGTGACAATGACCGAGTGAGTATGGCAGAGCAGGTGAGCCGGCACTCGTGCAGGCCGATGACCTCACGGGTCGCTTCAAATACGCACTTCTCAGGCCTCACACCTTTTCCCTGCCATGCTTTAAAATTCTGGTTTTGCAGGACATGTATTTGTCCCACAGCACTGATAAAAATCAAAATCCTCCTTTTATTTCCAGAAAGAGTTAGGAATTTTTAACTAATACCTTTGTATCACAGTTTGAGGGAAATCTCTGTAAGAAACAAACCCTTCCTAGAGTGAGCTTATAACTCTTGCAGGAAGACAGCATTATTTTTCTTCCCTGTTTGGCTTTGACACCACGGCCTGGCTGCCCTGTCTGCTCTACCCAGGGTGTTGGGAAGAAGCCGCTCCGCCTCCATGCTCAGGAAGCCAGGCTTCAGTTTCCCTAAATCACAGGTACCTCCTCTTTCTCATCCTGTTTGCCTACTTTGGGCCAGTGAATGACTGACTTTTGGTGGACCATAGATTGTACCAAGAATGTATGTGTATAATATGTAATTCTTAGGGAATGCTTTACACTCTTTTCCCAAAGTGTAGCTAACACACTTCCTCCCTCCATCCCTTCACTTCTAAGAGCTGGCGCCTTGCTATGTTGCTCAGGATAGCTTTAAGCTTCCGACCCCAGGTGGTCCTCCTGCCTCAGCCTCCTGAGTAAGCAGACTATGGGTGTGTGTCACCATACCTAGATAAACTAATTTCTTCAGAATAATTTTGCATAAGTCAATTTAGCAAAGGCTACTTTTCTTGTTACACATGTAATAATTTGTTTTTATTAATACTTTTTAATCATAAGAAGGTAGGTTTCAAGTAAGCAAGAATATATTTTCAGTTATGATCATGATAAAATGTTAAATAAAATATTTCTTAAGATCTATTTTCTGAAACATTTTCTGGAAATTTGCCCACAACAGATGGGATATTTGAAATACAAACAAAAAATTACAGTATTCATTCCCAACCATGGCTTTTGTTATGTCTATTTGCTCTAATAAACTCCAGAAATATTGTTTTCAAATACACAAAAGCAACTTCATTTAAATCACCTGAATTTAAGCAATATAAACTATAAAACACCTTCAAAATTAATGAGATTGTAAAATCAAGCAACAGTGGTATAGTAACTCAAAAAAAAAGGTGAAATATTGCTGGATTCAATCTTACATATGAGAAACAGAATAGAATTAACAGCAACACTGCCCTCCTCCACCACCTTTTTCTACATGCTAAAAGAATCAAAAGCAATACCTTTTCACTTTATTAATGCTTTGAGAAAACCAACTTGTCCCATTCATGATTAATCTTTTCCCCAAATGACGGACAATTCCTGGGGCATGAACCCAGGGTCCTGTACTGAGCTGGATATAACCCAGTTCTTTTTATTTTTTATTTTTTATTTTGAGACAGGGTCTCCAGAAGTCATTACATTGTTCAGGCTGGGTTTGAACTTGCGATCCTCCTGCCTCAGCCTCCCCAGAGTGCGGGGATTATAGGCCTGTGCCACCAGGCCCCGTTTACATTTTACTTTGGTGATGAGGAATCAAAGCCTTGTCTTAAGACATGTTACTTCCCTATGAAGTGAACCATCATAGGCTTACTGGATAATAGATCCAGCACACTCCGTGCCGGATGTTGTCTTTGTACTGTCCTTTGAAGATCAGCCGGCTGTCTGAGTCATACTCCTGTGCCGGCCCGTTCAGCTCCCCATCCACGTAGATGCCCTGGAGGACTCCGCCGTCCTCATAGGTGTAGATGCCCTGGCCCTGCAGGGCATCGTCCACGTAGTAGCCCTCCAGGGTGCTGCGCAAGAAGAGAAACACGAAGGGTCAGACGTGACTCTGCACTCCTAAGGACCCAGGGCCCCTCCTGCCTCCTCCAGGGCGCCTGCTCAGCAGCCCTGCCCAAGAGCTGGTGAGATGGGCAACGGGGAAGGGGTTTGCCATACCTCCCCTCAGAGCGAGAGTCCTCCTCTCTGCTGGAGGAGCGGGCAGCAGAGAGCCACAGGTGGGAATGGAGCACAAGTGCCGCTAAGTGCTCTAAGCCCGGGCTCCAGATGTCCCGTGTTTAACTTCCCTCAAAAGAGGCCTGGGGCTGGCGCAGCTCAGTGGCACAGCGCCTGCTCGGCTCGTGTGGGCCCCGTCCCCACAGCGACCAGATTCCCTGGGGGCTCTCAAGGGTCCTGCTGAGGTCTCAGAGTGCACGGCTACCCAACAGCACGCACGCAGTTCGGAGCACACAAGCCGCCACAGATGCACTAGTTCCCAGCTGCTACGGTCAGCATCAGTGGCGGCTGTAACTGGCGTCCACGCAGGCAAACCCGTCTCTTTAGTGGCTCTACGGGCATTTATTTAAGTGTGCATGTGGGTGTGTGACACGTGCAGTCACGCATCCCTTAATGGTGAGGGTGGGTCCTGAGAAACGCGTGTCAGGCCACTTGCCGTGGTGCAGACGTCACCGTGTGCTTGCACAAACACACACGGCCCAGCTCCTGCACGCCCAGGCTGTGGTCACACACGCTGTACAGAGGACAGGACACGCGCACAGCGCAGCACAGCTCGTAGGGACAGCCAAGGCCGGCTGTGGGGACTGCGCGGCTGCCCCCACTCGGCCTGCCAAGGTCTTACTTTGCTGTTGCTTTCCTTTTTTTTTTTTTTTTGGTTTTTCTCCGGTACCGGGAACCGAACTCACGACCTTGCACTCGCCAGGCAGGCGCTCTGCCGCTGAGCTAAATTCCTAGCCCTGCTGTTGCTTTTCTTTTTTTTTTTTTTTTTTTTTTTGCTGTTGCTTTTCATTAGTGCAAATCTGCAGGCCATGCACTTCAGTCATCTGGGGGTGCTGGGCGCCCACACCTAATGCAACCTGCTGCTTCTTTTTTAAAATCTTCCCTTCACCTTCCTGATCCTCTTCTAATTCCCTTTCCCCATTCTCACGCTTACTGATATGATTAGCCTCAGCTCATGTTTACGGCAGGTGATGCTCGCATCTGTAGAGGTTACTGGGTTGCTGTATGTGGCCGACCTTTATTCTACTCACTGCCCTTCCGCTTCCCCTCGCCCAGCCCTGGGTCTCTGGGGTCCTTCCCATTTGGAAAACAATCTTAAGTTAATGAATGGCTCAGAACCATCTATAATTATTGAATGAGAAGAGCGGCTAAGTGCCTAATTACTCTCTGGCCTCTCCCGAGGAGATAAACAGTTCTTGCAGCTTTGTTTGTGCGACCAGTGACAACAAACTACTCAATTCATGCAGGGAATACAGTGAGCACAGCCCCTGCATAAAAACCAAAGTCCAAGCTGGGTGTGGTGGCACATACCTATAATCCCAGCACTCAGAAGGCCGAGGCAGGATTGCCGTAAGTTCGAGGACTAGCCTGAACTGCACAGTGAGACCCTATCTCAAAAAGACTCTCCCCCTCAAAAAAGAAAGTTCAAATCAGTGAGGCTGGAATCAAGGAGATACAACCAGCTCTAGACTCCAGTAAAAAAAAAAAAAAAAAAAAACAATTTTGGTGAAGAATTAGTGATACCCACCCACATGATGATATACAGAAGAAAAAACTATTTAATCCTTTACCTTCATTTTTTGCATTGCCAGATAAAATACAAGATACTCAGTTAAGTTTGCAAATAAAAAAATAATTCTTTAGTGTAATATGTCCCAAATATTACTATTTTTTGAGGCAGTTCTTACTGTGTTGCTTAGGGTGGTCCTGAACACCTAAACTGCTCCTGCCTCAGCCTCCTTAGTAGCTGGGATCACAGGCATGATAAGCCATTGTGACCTGCCCAAATTTTCAATGATACATAATATGCTTTTTGCTTGTATATGTGTGTGGGGATACTGGGGGGGGGGATGTTGAACTCAGAGTCTTTGCACTGAACTACATCACAGCTCTTTTAAAAAAAATTATTTTTAATTTTTAGGTTTTTGCTTTTGGAGACAGGGTCTCACTATGTAGTTCAGGCTGGCCTTGAACTCACTACATAGCCCAGGCTGGCTTTAAATTTTCAGCAATCCTCCCATTTCAACCTTCCTAGGGCTGGGATTACAGGCATGCTCCACCATGGCTGGCATCAAATTTTTTATTCTGAGACAGGGTCTTGCTAAGTTTCCCAGGCCAGCCTCTAATTTGGGATCCTCCTGCCTCAGCCTCCCAGGGTACTGAGGTTACCGGCATATGTTGCCACACCCAGCTGAATGGTACGCACTTATACTAAATTTTTTGTTGTTGTTGTTTATCTGAAATTCCAGTTTAACTGGATGATTTGGATTCTTATTTGTTAATGCTGGCAACCCTCATGACTTTGGATTCTCAGCAGCATTCAAACTACTTCTGTGTGTGTTTAGGTAGAATTATCCTGACAGACTGAGCTGCTAATATTGCTCAGGTTTCTGGTCAACCCTACAAGGCCCAGGCCTTACAAATCACTTAAAGAATAATGTGGACCTGTGCGTTTCCCTGGCCCAGGCTCGGTGGCTGGTCCTTTCCCGTGTGAATGGAGCCACCCTCCCTCAGGGCCCTGAACAGAAACTTCTGGTTTGCTCTTGGCCAGACTGACTTCCGGTCCACAAGTGCAAATTCTTAAGGCACCAGGGAGCGAATCCTACTGCATTATTTTCTCAGCCATCTGCCTGGAGACACAGCTTTGTTTTCTTGGCAGCTTTTTATGGCACCTTGGGAGGAATCTGATGACGAAAGGGGCACGTTACACACTTCAGCTGGGCTCTCCAAAAAATAAAAAAGCTAAGTCTTTGAGATCCTGTCACTGGGGAAACGAGGGAAAGCTCCTCGGACTGGCATTCAAGGTGCCACCTTTCTTTCTCACTTTTTCTTCCCTGTGCTGTTTTTGTAAATAAAGTTTGGCTGGAACACTGCCTTGCACGTTCCTTTCCCTGGCTTTCACACTAGGAATTGAATCGTTCCTCTCACCCTGTACAGACAAAGCTTGCTGTCTCCTGCTCTAGAAGCCTCTGCTTGCGTTTGTTTACCCGCTGACCTCCATAAATCTTAGCTGGTGTATTATGTTTTCCTTTGTGTCATCTCTTAAAACATATGTGAGCTGCATCTTTAAATTTCTGTGGACATATTCAGGAAAACAAAACAAGTTATGGCTACATTTCCTTCCTTCCTTCCTAGAATCGGGATAATAATGAATAAATAGTCTCAATCCTGGGGCATTTTTTTCTATGGAAGAAAGAAAGGAACTGATGCTGGTTTGCAGCCGCGAAAACATTAACATGTGGCCAGATTGAAAAGTACACAGATGTAACTTTCTAATCTTTCCTGCAGCAACTGAACTGAGAGTTGTGTTTGGAGTGATCTGCTCATCTCTCCCCCACAGAGCTTCCTGCTTTCCTGGAGGACCCCACTTTCCCAAATCCACCTTGGCCTGAGCAGGAGGTGAACCCCATCCCTGCAGCTGGGCCTGCCCGCTTACACAACCCCAGGTCTTTGCTGACGTTCAATTATGTCCGGGTGGGGGTGCAGCTCATGGTACAGTGCTTGCCTAGCATGTGTGAAGCCCTGGGTTTGAGCCCAGCGCTGCAGAATTTTTTTTAAAATATTCAAAAATATTATGTGTTTTATTTCTCTGGTTAGATTGTAGGCCCTTTGAGGGACCAAATTAGGGCACATACATCCATCGATCCCTATAACAAGCACAGCACAACATCACTAGTATTTCCTAGCTGGGCGTGGAGGTGCATGCCTGTAATCCCAGCACTAGGGAGGCTGAGGCAGGAGGATCGTTGCGAGTTTGAGGCCAGCCTGGGCTACAAAGTGAGCTCAAGGCCAGTCTGAACTGCACAGTGAGACCTTGTCTCAAAAACAACAACAACAGCAACAACAACAACAAAAAAACCCAAAACACCCCACTACCACCAACAACAAAAAACCAAAAAACTAGGGGTTGGGGATTTAGCTCAGTGGTACAGTGCTTGCCTGGCAAGTGCAAGGTCGTGAGTTCAATTCCCGATACTGGAGAAAAACAAACAAAAAAGAATATCTAAAAAACTAGTATTTGCTAAGCAAAGGAACAGAAATGGAAACAGGCTCATTTTGCCCAGAAAAAAACAGGCAGAAAGGGACAAGGTTACTCCAGTGCACCGCTTGTTCCTTAGCTGAGTTAGATGTGCACAGGGCCTGCAAGGCAGGAGGGCTTCTCACACGCTCTGTGCTTCACTGGCTCAGCTGCCAACCACAGCCACTAACAGGGCTGTTACAAGGATCGAAAGGGTTAAGTGTATCCAAGGCTTAGGGTATGGTGAGACACACAGTGAATGCTTAAATAGGTAATAGCTGCTATTAAGCACGCACTCTCCGTTAGGAGGGCAAGCTGTCCACCGAGAACCTGGGTCTAAAAGCTTTATAAGGACAGTGATGAGGCAATGGAACAAAGAAATCTCTAACACTGTTTAAAGTTTAAAAAAAAAAAAAAGCAGTAAAAATTCCTCTGTGTAGGAACTGGTGAGCACTCAGTTGAATGGGGGAAAGAATGAAATCAACAAATTTTAAAAAGTAATATATTGTTATGGTATAAACATGGAGTGTCCCCCAAAGACTTACGTACTGAGGGTCTGACCCCCAGTGCAGTGACATTCAGAAGCGGGGACTGCAGAGGTGACAGGATCATGAGTGGAACCAACCTACTGATGAGTGCAGTTGCGGAACAGGCTGTTAGGAAATGGGACCTTCTTGCACGAGGACTGTCACTGCGGCTGCCTTTGAAAGGCTGGATGTCTTTTTGATCTGTTTCCAGCCTCTCTGCTTCCTGGTTCCTTGAGGTAGCAGCTTTCCCCTG